TTTTTTAGTTTTGTATATCTAAGCTTTCTTTAATATATTTCTTTTAAATTATCTAAAAGGTAGCTTATTGACATTGTAGAAATCATTACGAGACACCAAACCTTAAGATACCACCATCAAGAAATGGAAAAAGTGGACTTAGCATGCCCGGATGATGATGAGTCGCTGAAACATTATTCTTATTAGGTGTGAAGGAATACGACTTTTTTACCAAATCCACGTAGATGCTGGATAATGTTTAATTTGGCTACCACCCAGGAGTATAATGTGTCTAATGACGACCCAAGTATAAGCGCCAGCAGTATGGCGCTCATGCGCCTCCCTTTGCAAGCAGTCAATCAATCAAAACGTTATCATCCTGAATGTAGGCATCGTTTTTTTCGAAATCAAACGGTTATCATCCTGAATATAGACAACATTTTTTTCGATGTCGATTTCAAACAAGATAAAAATTAGAAGTTTAAGGTTAAAACACGAAATGAAATTTCTAAAATCATAGTTTAAATAGCTCAGAAACCAGGAAAATGTTTAAAAAAAAATCCGTACATTAAAAACTTAATACAAAAACTGACTGAGTCGTCGAAAAAAGCTCATCTTAGTTTTTAGAGAACCGGTTATATACCATAAAGTTTTTGGAACTGATTTTCTTAATTTGTAAATGAAATTGGAAATTAATATTTTATGACCAAGTATTTGAAACTAAAGAAAATTGTCCGAAAATCCGCAGAAGCAGCTGAGATGCAATTAAAATTATTTATTTGGCGATCTTTGAAGCTTTAATCATTTTCTTCCATAAAATTCAAGATCTTTTTTTCATTTTATGATAAAATGTCATGCCTGAAAAAGCTTTGAAAAACGAACTAGATAACTGATCAGTCGGTTACTACTAAATCATCATTTTCCGAATTAGCAAAATTAAGGAATTTTTCAATAGGAAATTGCACAGATCCAATTGATCAGCTTATTGAGCACTGAGCTTTTACGAACTCATTACCCCGGATATTTATAATTCTAGAAATGAAGGACACAAAATATATATGTACATATAAACTACCAGCATGACGAGCGAATTGATTTAGTCATGTCTATCTGTCACTCTGTATATACGAACTAGTCCCTCAATTCAAGCCCTTTTTATTTGACGAGATTCATCACAAAATTTGGAACATAAGTAAGTATATTATCCAAAATAAGGATATAATCTCAAAAAATATTCTTCAGATCGGCCCATTATAGCATTTGGTTACGATATAATGTTCAATGACAATTTACAGATCGAACCACTATAGCTGCCATATAATCGATCGATCAAAGCCAAGTTCTTGTATGAAATCTTTTGTGAAAGATACTACTTGTTTTACTTCACGATTTCGAAGACCAATTTCCTCAACCAAAACAAATTATTGAAATGAGGTTAAAATAAACTGTATATTTACCCTGCTTGCAACTAAATGCATATGGGTTAACAAGTTGGCTGATAGCTGCGCTACTCCTCGCTACTCCTTTTACACATTTCATACCATCTGTAATTTACCTTTACATACCACTTCTCCTAACCCGACTTTATGCCCTGTAGGCACTTAACTGTTTCTGGATAACCAAATTAATTACAACTCTAAATTAGTAGCTTTATCTTGATTGGATTCTGGTGAGCGCACTAAAACCAACACACACTTATGCAATCAAAGTAGTATTTGTGTGTATTTATGACTTAAGTATGCATATCCCGAAGATCCGATCTGTAAGCAAGTCGCACAGGTAGTTTTCAGTTCATCTAAACATAAACCTGATTTGATATCAACTTTTTTCAACTCTAAATACGAGTATGTATATTAGCCGGCCGCTAATCAAGCCACTACAAGCAAAGCAGCAAAGGTCAGTGTATATAATTAAATAATGCATGGCGGAAAGCGAAGCAGCAAGCACATAGAGCGTAAATGATGGTGGAGCGCAGGCGCAGCACTCATGTGTATAGAAAACTAAAATAAAAAGTGTAAAAAAAAATCAAAATCAAACCAAAATGTGTAGGAAATAAAATTTAATTCAACAAAACGATTTAACACAACACACATCACCACAAAAGAGACGAGCACAAAGGGAGCAGTGTAATATGTCTACGAGCCGATCATGGTAATGCTAATGATGATTACAACATGGCTAACATGTAAACGTTGTTGTAAGCGCCACTGCACTGCGCGGACATAGGAAGCGATTCATAAATAAAAAGCATGATGAAAAAAAAATTAAAGAAACAAGAATTAAAATGTAGAAAAGACGAACTGGACCCTAACATCAGCACTTTGTTATGCCACAAAACAATTATAAAATGCACTTGGTCATTTGCCGCGATCAACACTGCACCGCAGCAGTGTGAAGCGAAAGGTGGAGTAGCAGCAGCAGTGGCAGTGGCAGTGACAGGAGCAGCGAAGGCAGCATGACCACTGTTGGCAAACTGTCGACGCTGATTTTCGGTGATATCTTACAGCTGCTGTTGGCTGGCCATGCACTTGATGCGATCAACAAACAGCTAGCAGAATTACCTAAACACTCCAACACATGCAAACAACGAGTAACAGCGATGCATGTGTGTGTTGTGTGTGTGATCGGCGATCGATAGTGCAGGCATGGTGGTTTCACAGCAAAACATGGGCATACACACGGCTATCGAGTAAAAATATATATAAAAAATTATAAATAAAAAAAATGTAAAAAGGGCACACATGTGCAGCTTCGGGTAATAGGAGCCCTAACAGATGCCACCACAACTCTCCTGTTGATGCGCCGCGGCTCAAGAACGATTCTTTAGCGAACACACAGCGACTTGATGATGCTAAAATTATGGCAGAGATGGAGAATTTGAGAAATATGATGATGGTGATGATCGCAAAGTATTTGTTGTTATTATTTTGCTTTTTAACTGTCACTTTCTGCTTCAATTTTTATTTTTGCTGTGCGGTTATGCTTACTGCACGCTGATTACGTTTTGTTTATACATTCATATGTATGTATGTATGCTTATGAAAACATGGACTCTCATTGGAGATATATTGGAGATATACTCTAGGATTTTATTTACTTAAAGTTTTCATATTTATATTGGAAAAAGTGACTTACTCGTATACCGTCAATATCAATGCATCGTTTTATATATTTTAAGTAACGTTGGGTTTGCTATTTTATTGTGTATTTAAAAGTGTTTGCGAATAATAAACAAAGTGCAATAAATCGATAAATTATTGTAATCGATAAATCGTATTTGTAAATGAAAATGGTTATCGATTTATCGATTAACACTTAAGTAATTCTCAGCATCAGGGATAATAAAAAAAACTGATGGTAATGCTTATGCAACAAATCGATAAATTCCTGTTTCCTAGATTAACGATACAAAGTAATGAAAATGGAAAATGAAAACGATTGATACTAAAATATTTCGCACCATTACGGTTAATAAAAAACTGGTGGTACTGATATGCAACAAATCGATAAATTCCTGTTAATATATGAAAATGGTTATCGATTTATCGATTGGTATTAAAATATTTGACACCATTACGGTTAATAAATAACATTTAGTCAAAAATCAATAAATTATTTTTAATCGATTAGCGATAAAAATATATGACAACTTTTATCGGTTTATCGATTGATACTAAAATAATTCACACCAATACGGTTAATAAAATACTGATGGCACTGACAATGCAATAAATCGATAAATTATTGTTAACCGATTAACGATAAAAGTTATATGAAAATGGTTATCGATTGATACTATTTCACAACTTCCGGGTTAATAAAAAACGGATGACACCGATTATTTAATTAATCGATAAATTATTGTCAATCGGTTAGCGATATTAGTTAATGTAATGGCTATCGTTTGACACTAAAATAATTCACACCATTTCGGTAAACAAAAACCCTTTTCTTGAATTTAACAATTCCTAAGAAACTACAGTAATGGGAGCTATAAGCTATAGTGGGTCGATCTAATTTTTTCGGGAGCGTTCAATTAGACAATAACTCATGCCAAATTTCCTGAAAATATCTCGTCATATTAAAAAGTGTTCTATACAAACACTTGATCCCGATCGTTCAGTTTGTATAGCAACTATTTGCTATAGTAGTCCGATAACGACGGTTCCAACAAATATACCGCTTAAGCCGTGGAAAGGACATTTCCGAAATTTCAGATCGATGTCTCGAAAACTGAGGGACTAATATACAGGGAAAAGGATATGAAAACAGCGACTCAGCTCTTCAAGCTCATTAGCAAACCGCTCAGACCTCAGAATTTCAAATTGTTTGGAAAATTTACCTTTGATTTTTTCTTTTTCAGTTGGATTTGACAGATGAAGAGTATAGAATAGATAGAGAAAGAGTATCGTTAAAGACTAGAGCAGTGTTATAAGAACACATTGCAAATATCATCGAGGTTAAGGTTAAAAATAACGTTTTTAGGCGAGTCCTATATATTTCAGATAAGTTTGTTGGACGTCCCATAGATTTATGAAAAATACTTATTTCATTACAAATTATAAAAAATAATTAAACTGGGTAATTTACAGGTTATATTTTTAGATAACACTATGGTACTAGTTCAGAAAGAGGTTCTGGAAGAAATAACAATATTTTATTTTAACATATGCTGTAAATATTAAATATGGCTAATGAAACTGAGCTTAAAAATTAAAATCATTATGACAATGGCTTAGAAATTAATTTCAATATCATAAAACCGCTAAGATCTAATTTCTAATAACAGTTTCATTCGTATATATCGCCTTCTCTGTGACCTATTTTTGAAACTGAAGTAGTCCAGCTAATCTCAGTAATATTGTATAAAAGTGATATGTCATTCTACAACCTACTTGTTCGATTCATCACTCTCTTAAGTTTAGCGAAAATTCCTGCTATGTTTTTTTTTTTTTTTTTTTTTTTTTGTAAATATACACTATTCTACTTTTACTTTAGTAAAGAATTATATCTAAACTCACATCTAGCTGGCTAAAATCGCCTCGTTTTACTGCGATGGAAATATGAGAACAGAACGAAGCTAGACGAATTGAGATGTTTTGAAGAATCCAACAGCTTGTTGATTGATGTATATTTTTGTGATTAATACTTTTTATTTAAAGAAAATTATTTCACATTGACAATTTTTCGTGCTCAAAATTTACAAAATCACTTTTCTAATATGTATATTTGAGATTGTAAAATGATATTTTATATCGAATTTTCCACTTAATAATTGCACCAACAAGATATTCAGCTAGTTCTATAAATGGAACTTGATCCGTTTCATCAATTATTAGGCACTTTTTGACTTCAGAAAGATTTTATTTTATATTGTAAAATTTTTTTAAATACTTTAGTTTTTGAAACATGTAGAAAATTACTTTGCTTAAATTTTATGGTTTTATTTAAGAAAAATCAATTTTTTCCTCTGTAATTTTTAACTGAACTTGCGTGATCTCACAATTTATTGAAGAACTACATATGTAATACAAAATAATTTTTATCTTTTGAGTTAAAAACACTTATTTTTCTTACATAATATTAAGGTTTATAACCTCTTAATGCGCACCAGAATTTTTTCAGAATTTCACAATACTTCAAATATAGTTGTAAGGCTTCTTTCCTAATTTTTTAAATGATTTTATAAAGCTTTAATTTTCACTGAGCACTTTTTAAAATTTACTTATTTTCAATTTTATTTTACAAAAATCTTCTTAACTTTAGCTGGGCTAAAAGAATCACAAACCACTGTATGAGATCGTTCTTTTTACGAATTTCAACGATCTTTCTTATGGATCACTTTTTAGTTTTGCATTGAGATTTTGAGTTTTGGAAGTGAGGAGACAACTTATTTAAAGCTTTTATTTACGTATACACAATAATTTCACTGTTATGAAAAGCAAATTCGCACTTTTTCGCACCAGTTAACAATATTTCACTAAAATTTATAGCTTCACTCTCGGCTTGCAATAAAAGCGCTTGAGTAGTTCACTCTTCTGTCGTCAGGATCATGTTCCAACGAACTCTCTCGGCAACAAAGTGCAAGTATTGGCAAGCGATCGCCTCACCACTCAAATTGGATGAACTGTGCGTGCATGAGTCTCAGAAATTGTTGCTATTTCTTACACTTGCCGTCTGTTGTTATTGTCTCTGTAGCGGCAGCCGCCGATATTTACTTTTGTGCAGCGATCAGTTGGTTTTTGGGCGCTACGATAGTTGCAGTAGGTAGTAGCTAAGTAGGTAGAGCCGACAAATCTTATGTTACCACCGCACGCACACACATGCAGACGAGTGTAGAATAGTATATATTATATATATGTGCGTGTGTGTGTTTGAGGGTACCTGCTGCGTGGTTGACTGACTGCCTATCGGTCGTTGCGTCGATCGATCGATCAGTTTAGCTACTTGGCTAGCTATACGTATTGGCTTTATGTTGTTGCTGCTTTTGTTATTGTCAACGACGTCGCAGTCGTCGTCGTCTTCGCCTTAGTTCGCTTTATGCCGCCGGTGTTCCATATGTGCCCGTAGTATAGTATGAAAGTGAGTTGTGCCCGCCAACCTCTGCAGGTTTGTAGCGCTGGGTGTCTTTACAGCCGTATATAGTATATGTGTGTGTGTGTTTAAGTAGGCAGACTGCAAGAGGCCGTTGGATTTTCGGCTGCGCCCGGCGCTGTCTCAATAGTTTTCTTTGTTTTTGCAGTTGTTGTTGGTCGAATAAGTTAATCACTAATATATTTAGTATGTGTGTGTGTGTGTGGATGTTTCTAGCTTGAAATATCGGTTGCATGTAGGTTTTTCGTTTGCCGCAAATACATGCATATGAGTGCTGAGCCGACGCCAACACGTTGGTTGAAAAATATTAGTTTTTGTTTTTGGGAAAAATTATATTTATATTTGTTGTTGCAAAAAAAATTGTTGTTGCAAAAAATATTTTGGTGTTGTTGTAAACAATGTTTTGTTGTAAAAAGTACTTTGCTGTTGTTGCAAAATATAGTTTTTGTTGTCGTTAAACGTCTATTTTATTTACTAAATTGTTGCATTTTCTCTTAATTAAATTAGTATTGCACTGTTATAATTTTCTCTTTTTTATTTTATTTGTTTTATTAATATTTTTTTCTTTTTGCAAATGAATTCAATATTTTTAAACAAAAGTGGCGCTTACGTAAAACAATGTATTTATTTTGCTTTTGACAGCGAATAGCGGCACACTTATTTATTTACTTTCAAAGACATTTATTTGGCATTTTCCGTTATTCATAGATTTTCCCCACAGTAAAATGCTCGCACTGAACTATTTTCGACTTTTCACAATTTTCAAATTTGTCAAAATCCCAAATCACGCACGTTTCGCTAAAATTCCTTTAAAATACTTTTTTCGTTTTACATTTTCACGCTTCGCCCGCTCAAGAAATTGTATGCTTTGCCGCACGCAGTGTGTTGCTATCAACTGATTTCGGTCGCTCTGTTGTTCTGTCGGAGTTCTCCTATCCCTAAAACGCTGTGACCAAGTCGCCGTTGGCTTCACTGTCGACGTAGCCTGCACTGCCACATACACTACAACCAAACACACACATATAGTATGTATGTAAGCATGTTTGCTGGCGATCGTTCGTTGGGGCTCTCTTCCGTTCGACTGTGCTCACGATTTTGTTGTAGTATTTGCAAGTCGGCTGCGCCATGAGTTTGCACTCACACACACGGAGGTATATATATTATATATATGTACATACATGGGTCTATATGTGTTTGTTTAGATTTGACCACGCTGAATTTCATACAGCTGGAAGCCGCTGATAACCAAGTGAAAAGTGAGAGTCCAAGTGCGATTATCTAAAATTCTGAACAAATGCATACAAACAAGTCTGTTTAACCAGGTCCACGGCCCAACTGGAAGCCTTTGCTTAGTGCAATGTGTACACATACCAACATATACATATGTATTTAAATAGATATCAATTGTTTGTATGTAGACAGCCTAATCTAACAGTAAATATGATAAGAAAATCATTGGTAGGGTGATAACGGCATATCAGTTCATATTGACGTAGTGAGAATTTCTCTTCGAAAATTTTGCGGGTATGTCTAACAGCAGTAGTCTCAACAAAGAGAGCAAACGTACAAGGCACTCCTTAATAACACTACTAGTAATTTCGATATGTAGAATTAATTCGCAAACGACTTTTTGAAATGAAATCCGAAGTTGATCCTGTAAATAGTTACGGATTTTAATCACAGTTAAGGAATTTTAACTTAGTGTATTCGGCTTTGAAAGCCGAAATGACTGGATCGATCGCCTTGAAAGTTTCATAGGACCATCCTAGATATATTTGTCAGTAATGATCGAAGGAATAAGTTTTTTGATAATAAATTCGATTCAGCCCTTTGAAATGAAATGTGAATTTTTATTCATAAAACGACTTTTTTTTTTTTGGGAATTGCAGCAGTATGGGCGTCTGAACTTCTGAAAGCGTGTACGAGGAGGCCATGCGAAACAAATCGAGTTCCATACATAATGGAATAGAGAATTTCTTTGATATCCCAAGCCGTTTTTGTTTTAATAAAAAAATCGCTTTTATTGAAAAAGTTAAAATTTAAAAATTAACATAAGCTGCCTTCAGTTCGATACACTGGATCCAGTTAGACGCCAACTTCTTCAACCCGTTTGCGGGAGATCTGCAAAGTAAGCCTATGACAGTTTTGCTCATCTCCACTTAGGCGATGTATGTATGTATGTAGAGCATACATTGAGAATCCCAGAAAATGGTGCACATCGACTTCATGCCCCATATTATATACATATAGGACATGGTCTATGCGTCATTTTTTTTTTTACTGTTACAGCTATCTCACAGTTGGGACCCCTGTCAGTGCGTGAACTTTTTTACATTCTTGTCTGATGTAGGAGGCTTTGAGGAACTTCGGCGTAAGAACCACGTTGAAGCTCGTTTAGCCAATATTAAGATAGTCGCCAACGAAGGTGAAGAGTCGCCTTATACAACATAACCAAGAGTACTCTGATTTCACTTCGTGATTTTTTACAAGTATCGTATCACCGCTTGATATGACTACATTTTTCCGTTGTCACTACAGTCGGGCGTACGTAATCGGAATCAACTCGAATTTTTATCAATAACAACTTTAATTCTCTTATCTCAATTATCGGACGGGAACTTCCTCTAACTCACCTATAATGAGTCTATCTTTCCGATAGACTTTACAATTGAACTCCGTTATAAAGTGAAATAACTTAATGTAACGCAAATTTCAATATTATCACTGTAGTAACGGTAAATAATATCAAAATGAATACATACAGTCCAAAAGTGTACACAATATTGAAGACTGATTTCCGATACCAAATTCTACGTAATAATAAACTTTCAAATTCCTTTAAAATTTTTCAAAAGTATTCGATATTCGGTTTCGCCCGCACTTAGCTGTTCCTTACCTACTACTTTTTTATTTGTATTATTTTATTTATCTCACCGTTCGGTGCAGCATAAATAAAATGAGTATTTGCGTATGCACCATATATGTATATACATATATCATATGTATTTGTATGTATGTACATATGTACGTTTTCGCGAAAATTCATTCATCAACTACAATAACAACAACAAATCGCTTAATTTGTCCGCCAGCCACACCGCGTTAACCCGTTCGCCGTTTCCGTGCTTTTTACTCTAATTCATAAAAATAAATTCATGCACAAATATGTATATATGTACATACATATGAACAGCTATGAATAATGTTTGAATTCTACTTGGAGACCTCTTCAGAAAAATTAAAAAACAAAAAGCAAGTGAAAAAACGATCATTCCAACACAAATCGGGCAACAGAACAAACGAACGTCTGCAGGGGCGCTTACGCCACTGCCGACCGCGACGTCAACGTCATACATCAAGCGCACCATATATTTATGACATGAAGAAGAAGAGGAGCGCGCACCGGTAAGGAGCAGCGATAGCAGAAAGTCAATTCATTTTCAAATGCAGAACCAAAACAGAATCGAATTTTTGCTTCTTTGTCTCTCCCTAATTTTGCTCTTTCACATTTCACACATTATGAAAGCAATACAACGCGTGGTTGTTGTTTTTGCGACACGTTTGTGAGGTGTGCCGTGTGGAGCCCTAATATTGTCACAACTGTGTGTTAGCCTTTGCGAACCAGCTGGCAACACCGATAGGTTTCGTCTACCTTACGACTAATGCCAAAGCAGAATGAAACTCAAGTAGTTTTTCTATTTCCAACAGTTTTTTAGCGAATCGGCGGCGCAGTATACCGTGTTGGAAAGAGCGCCGATTGGCAGCGTTGCATCTCGGAGAGTCAATATCCACTGTAACCGTCGGCGCACCTTTCACGTGCGCATGTGTTCGTGTATCTCGCTTACTACGCTATTTCACATGTATGTAGGTATGTCGGTAGTTGGATTTATGAATGAACTTCCAATAGTGCTTCGAGCTTTGCGCGGTTTTTGCGTTGGCAGACTTGTTATACTCAGCTATAGACGTGTGTTGTTGTTAGAAATGGAAACCGAAACGAGATGGAGGAAAGGTAGGAAAAGGCAGTGTTTTAGGGATCCACATTGTGATGGGAGTAAGGCCTTGTTTTGCAGTCTGAACTCACACGCAGTTGACCAAAGCCGGGAACGGATTTAACCTGTTAGTAACGTGAGTTAAAAATAGTCTCTTTAGTAATAGGAATTCGAATTTTGAATAACAACTTGGACTATGAAGAATTGCTTCTTCCAAAAAATAAAAAAAAGTACCATGTCAAACTCAGTCGGTCTGGGAAAATGATCTTAAATCTTAACCTCGCTTTTCTCGCTGCACCAAATCGTGATTTAAATTAGGCAGTGAATGGGAGGAGTTTTGACAAGCGGGAATTCTTTCCGAAAAATCGAGCCAACTTCGAGCAAATTTAACTCATTTGCTAAGACTTTGATAGACATTTAAAGAAGTTGCTTCCGTGGTTGAAAAATTTTCTGAGGCGCTGAATTATCCTACCCTGGCAAAGACCAACAAACCGTAGAAGCAGTGGACTTTATATTGTTCAACGAACCTCCGCGGAAGAAGCCGACCAGTGTTTCATAGGCCGAAACGTTCACGGTCTACGTTTTCTAAGGTTCACAACGCGATATCGACATCAACTACATTGCAGAAAAACGGACAGGACGAAATACGAGAGCGGACAGGCCCACACCCAATTCCCACAACAGCCATTTCTAGGTTACCGGAATTACCTCGGAGTTTATGCGGCCAAAAACAATTTTTTCTACACAGCCACTGCAACAACAACAGGTTCACTCGTCTGACGTCAAACAGGCAAATAAGTGAAATTCAGCTACGAAAACCATATCAGAATACCAGTTAAAATTTTGAATTCAAAGCAATCAGTTATATTCAAAATTTATAGGTCGAGAATTATTTCACAAATCATTTACAGGCGACATCTGTCGACGAATAGTCTTTTAAAAGACGTCAAAGTTCTTGAACACACTCTGTTGAACTGCAACTAACTTTAATTAGACCCAATTTTGACATTTCAACTTGCGAATAAATTTTTGACAGCACCAACCGCAGCAGTAGTCTTCATTTTGATTGATAGTATTCTTATCGCAAATATAATTTGTGAAGGATTTTAATTAATACACATTAAAAAACAAGGTAAATGTTACATAAAAATAAAAATGAAGTGCTTGTCTATCCACGTTTCAGTCAAAATAACAAACAACACAGTCTAATGAACAACTAGATGGGAATTGACAAACGTCATTACATAACCTTTTAGGTTACTCTGCTATTATTTATGCGTGAAATTGGAAACTTTTAGATTGCTAAACATTTAAAAATTATTTGCAGATGTTGTCGCAATCAGTACTGTCTACCGTACGCGTGCTGCGCACCGAGGCACGTCGTAGCATCGGCATCATGGCACCAGCATTCAACAAAGTCTCCGACCCTATTCAACAGCTCTTCTTGGACAAAGTGCGCGACTACAAGAAGCGCAGCAGGTACACATACTAATTTATAATAGTAAATATAGAGTAGAAAAATAAACGAGTACCTTTTATCTTTCCATATTTTAGTGGTGGTAAATTGGTTGACTCAACACCCGAAATTGAACGCGAGTTGAAGAACGAATTGGAACGCGTTGCAAAGCAATACGGCGGTGATGGCAAGGTCGATATGACTAAATTCCCCGAATTCAAATTCCCTGAAGTCAAAATCGATTCCATCACTTCGACCAATTAGATTTTTAATATTCATTAGGATGCAATTTTCAAATGCCGCTTGTGGCCAAATGCAAACGGTGCATTAATAAGAAGTTTTGCGTGTTAATTAAAATACGGTAAACAATTTATTTCTTTATGGTCTTTAAAATAATAACGCCTCCTAGAAGAAAATAAAAAAAAACTAATGGTAAAACACACACGACACTTTTATGAATAGTAGTAAAACGTACTTAAAAGTAGATTTAAGTTAGAATATAACGGGTTACGTCGCTATGACTTGTTCCACTGTCTCCTGCAGCAGTTGCATTTTGTGATATTCCGCGACACGTCGGAAGGTACTTAGCAGTCCTTTGATTTCACGACCGTTTATAAGTGGCACGAATTCGCCAGCACAGGGACAGAACTCGGCGAGATTTTCACGTTTTATTTCATTGCAACGTGCGCATCTTAAATCCTGCAGTACATAGGACATGACTTTGCGTTGCACCACGTCGATAATGCGCATTTCGATCTCCTCATTTTCATACGCTACGAAACATTGTGCACACAACCAAACAGGGCTGTAAGAAATATTGTTTGTAAACAAATTATTGACATTTAAAGAGTAGTTGAAAATATGTCAACAACAATGCTGTCAACATTTAGAGTTTAAAGTTACGTTAGTCGCATTCAAATCCTAAAAAAATTAGTTGGAGTCTTATTTACTTACATGCCGTCCTTCATTGCTCGATGTTTGTCTTTGCATAAGTCCAAATCACGACAATGGTTACATGCTTTACAAATCACTTCAGCAATGGTGTAAGTGTCGCTTGGATCTTTCCACTCGGCAAGATCCGAGAACTCGCCAATACCCACGAGTCGTAACATGTTACGTCGCAACTCATTCACATCGTCGGTCAAACCCTTGTCAACACTCAACGCTTTCACTACGGCACGCGTCAAGTCTAAACCCGGACTTGGTCGACCTTTGTTGTAATTTTTATGCAATTTCGATACAAAATCAAAAGCGGGATGTGATATATCTTTAATAGCTTGTCTGGTGTCTTTGCCTTCGGCCAAGGATTGCATAAACAAAGTGAGCAGCGTTTCGAATTTCTCACGGCAAGCATTTTCATCAGGCAGATGTTCACCAATAGTCCAGTTCAATTCCAGTGACAGCTGTTGCTCACTTTCACCGTCGGCTGTACCGATTTCATCTGCCTCTGGACGCACAATCTCTTCGATATCATCTTCGTCCTCCTCTTCGTCATCATTGGTGCGGCGCTTAGTCTTCGATTTGCTATTTGTCTTATCGCCATCTTCATCGTCATCATCAACACCACACAAAACAGTGTCACTCGTTACGCCCGGCGGCAGCTGACCACGTATGCCTGCGTAGTTGGCGTGATCGAGCCACAGCATGAAATTCCAGCATTGCTCATAGGACAACTGTATCGAATGGAATAGTTCCTTATTGCGTAAGCTCTGCACTACATACTCCACATAGCCCAAAGCATCAGCCACCGTCTTCTTGCCCGAATTAAGTATGATGCGGTTGAAGTCGGCATAGATAATTGTCGCGCCCAAACGCTTGAACTCCGCCACAATGCGCAAGAACATTTTACGCATTAAATTATTCAAGGTACGTCGTAATGCCGGATCGTACAATAATGCGTTTGAAGAACGCACCCAACGATAGAAATGTATCAATTGGAAATCAGCGAAGATATTCTGATTCAGTGCTACTTCCCGCAACCAACCGTTAACCATATGCCGCAGCACACGAAAGGCGGCGGAGCACAGCGCTGTTTCATCATAACTGGGTAGCGTTGCAGCGGGCACGGTGCCAATCATTTCTTCCAACGAAGCTTGTGGTATCACATCGAAAGTTACAGCCGAGCTGGCACCCTCCATCTCTTGTATGCGATTTGATTGTAGCAAGGCGCTAACGGCCAAGCTATCAAGCGCCAGCTCTACACACACATCACTATAGAAACCCGGTCGATTCTGTACGACCGTAATACTCTCTTCAAATTCAGCCAATAGACGACTGTCATCGGCCTCACGACCACCCAAATCCGGTCGTGTAGTGGTCGACCACCAGAGCACGAAATTATTGCGCTGTAGAATGCGCGCAAAAAATAGATCCGCGCCGAAGAGCACTGTGTCGGGTGGCATATTACCGATGGGAACCTGAACGGTATTAAATAAAATTAGAAGTTGAAATTAATTATTGCATTTATTATTTGGAATCTTAAGAAACAAAAAATTTCGATGAAAGAAATATTTAAAAATCGAGAAATTTGAGGTTAACCAGGTTAAAAAATTTCTGTATTCTTATCTATTACTATATCATTCACTAAATAAATAAAAATATAAAATCGGTCGCCAACCCAAGCTCACCAATTTTTTAAAGCAGTGTTTACATACCTGAAAGTAACGACACTGATCCAACATCATCTCGACCACACTATTCAAATGCAAAAAGTGCCGCACCAATGCACGTGAACCCTGACGCTGCCAATCCAAACCCGACAAAAGGGACGCGTCGTCTGTGATGTGTATGAGCGCCTGAGGGAAGTCAAGTAAGACAGGCATTGCCGAGTTCAGCTTACGCGCTTCCGTAGCCGTTTGCACGTATAGCATGGAGGGACCGCGTTTCTCATCCTTATAGGCGGTAAGCGCGCGTTGGATGTGGCGATAGATCTGCTTCACATCTACTTCGATGAGCACTTCGAACGTGAACTCTTCCGGTGGCAAACGTTCTATTTCAGCCGCATCTTTCATAGTTTTGATCAGCGCCAAGCGTTCGGCTGTGTATAGTGTGCGCATATTTGGCATTTGATTGGTGCGCACTGTGTCTAACGCGAAGATTAGCGCCTTTCTGCTAGACAAAAGAAAGAGGCCCCATATTTCCTTTTTGGCTGTTGGCGTGTTATGTTGATAAAGATATATTTTACGCAATTTGTGTTGAGAATCTTTCAAGTATGTGTGACCCTGCAAGCGTTGCTCCAGCTGTTCAATCGAGAAGCTATCCAAGTCTTTGGTGGCGAGCGCGGCCAAACGTTGCGCCTCCTGGCGCTGAACCGAACACATGCAACCCATATCCATGAGAGCGCGAAACTCTAAAGACATTTGTGTCTCATAGATACCCTCAATATCAGGCGTCGCCAAATCGGCCAGCATACCTAGACAATTATCCTTGAACACCTGTTCCGGCACGCTATAACGATATAGATTATAGACGGGGCGGGCGCGTGGTAGCACACGGTTGACTTTCTTCCACAATTGGCCATCTTCGGGTGGCGCCACGCTGCGTTGGTTTACATAGAAAATACGCGGAACCGTCAACTTGATGCGATGCAGTTCGTCACCAATCATTAGCCACACCGTGAAATGACCCATATCATCATTTGCCACTATTTGCAATACATGCCACACGTGATCGATGAGCGCGCGTTGTGCGCGTCGCAAGAAGCCGCCTATTGTACCGGTGGCTGTAACGCCATCTCTGCCACTTGGCATTAGTGGGGCCAATGTTTGTTCGTTGCGTGGCCTCTTGTTGGCTTGGCGCACGCGTAAACGGCGCTCTAACTGCCACGCCCATTTTTTCTTTTGAAAACGCACCCATTCGATAATTTCGGCGCGCGTTGTGCCAATTGCTGGTGGCGCGCCTAACGCTTGACGCCATGTTGCCGCTTCGGCTGCCTTGTTAGCTACATCTTCTGTCTCCTCGTCTTCACCCGAATTCACGCGCTTGCGTTTCGTTACAACAGGTCGCCCGTCGAGCGAACCTTCAGCAGTATTTCTGGCTACCAAATCCTCCATATCGGCTACCTCGCTAGTGCCACGTATTTCGCGCGCTGTTTTCGCTTTCGGCATGAACATTTCATTGATGCGTCGCTGCTTGAGCACATCGTTCTTTTCGAGTATTTTCTTGTGCAACCAATCGGGATGTTGAACGCGCGGCACCGGATTCGAAAGTCCTTGCAACGCTGCTGGTATGGTGATGATTTTTTGTATAGTGCCACCCAGACGTTCGATGTAATAGTTCCAGTCCAGCACATCACGTATATCCGCATCGCCCATTGTGCTGTCCTTCAGCCAGCGGCGCAAATGGTAACGACGCACATTCGGCTCCGACTGGAAAATAGCCAGCGGAATCGCACGCTCTGTGACGGGTGCACCTTCTGGTTTCTTCGAAATTATATACTTGCAAGCCAAACCTGCATCTTTGACTATCTGATCGCCTAAAAATTCAGCCAAACGCTTGGCTGTGGAAATGGAAGTACTCTTTTGTTCACCATAATCTTCAAGTTTCTTGGACATTGATTTGTTTTCGGCGATTAAATCAAAAAGTTCCGAATCGGGTAGATTAGAACCGCGACTATAAAGCACATCCAGCCAGTAGTCAGCGACTTTGGCGACAGAAGCATAGCATTCCTCTAAAGTATTGCCTGCCAAGAAAGCTTCGAAGACTGAACTTTGAAAGTTCTTAATTAACTGCAATTCACCACGACGTTTCACCTCGAAACCTTTCAACTCAGCAAGTGAACCATCGAAATTGAAGACAGCATAACGTTTCTTCAGCTTTTTACCCTCTTCCTTTGCAGCCGGCAATACCATAGCCAAGTAGGGACCATCCACCTCAAAGAAAATTGAATTCTCCTCACGTATGCGATATTCCGGCAATTTGCCATCTTGTGCGGGCTTAACCAATTCATGGTACTGATCGTTTGTAAAATACTCTTTCACCATTGTGTTCAACACCGCATTGGGATAGGAGATGTTGAATTTCTTTTTCTTTTCGTGTGTCGTCTGTATCGTAAACTCTTGTGGAAACGAACCGGGCAGAATACACCAAATACCATCAGTATCCAACTCTAATGGGCGTCCGACACGTTCGATTATCTCACGCGCCTTTGTGATTATGTTCGAACCAGTATAGCATACAATGCCCGCCATTGGCATAGAATGCCAACGTGCACCCCTTCGCATCACATAACCGTAGAAAGAGTTTAAAATACACTTGTGTGCCAATTGCAACGAATCATACAGCACTTCTCTACCCTTCGCTGCTTTAATCTCAGCAGCATCACCAGACGACAGCGCAGCATTGACAGCTGCCTTCGCCACCTTTGTGAGCCCCTTGTACTCGTAACGACGATCGCGAAAAGCGCGCACTGTGTCCACATAGAAACTGTTCTCCTGCTCACAAACGGTGGAGGTTCGTGTTTCCAATTTTGTAATTTTAGTCTTTTTATAAGCTTTACGACAATAATCACTGAGACGTTTCTTCTCATAGGCGGCCTGATCTTCGCGTGAGAGCTCATGGAAAGCACGATTCGGTCCGCCCGGAAAAAGTGGTGGAAATTTTTCTGTTTCCAATTGTTGTTGTATGCGTTGAAACTCATTTCGTGTCGCTGGCAACATCTCTCCACGCCACAGCCAATCCATGACGCGCTTACATTTAGCGCCTGGCTTGTTAAAATCGCAAGCGGCACAATCGGTTTCACTGACCATAGCCGAGGGTTGCAGGCGGTTGGTAAGGATGATATTAGGATACATAGCACCAACGTCCAAATGGTATATGACAGGTTGTTCCAGACGATTGGGTATGTCATGGAGTCCTTCAAATAAATATAATAAAGTTAACTCAATATCACATTAAGTAAATTGGGTGTAATCACCTTGCAACGCTTGTGTTATTTCTTTATTCACCTCCTCTAAATTCGTCACCTTATCTATTGGCACACCCTCTTCCACCTCAATGGCATGTACTAACACTTTGGTTACATTATCTTTTAGTTGATTGACCATATTTGGATCGAGACGAAAACGACATGGTATATCCGCACGAAAGACGCCCGACTCTAGCGCTTCTACATGGCCGCCAACGTAAGTTTCCGAATCCAATACATGACCCTCATTCGACAATTTATTTAGCTCATTCTGTTGCTTGTTGGGATATACAATGTTGGCATGATAAGCTTGCACCATAAGTAAAGTTTCACACAGCGTGCCCGAACCCTTGCGTAAAATTTCATCTGGTTCCATAGGAATGATTGTGTTCAAGGCAAAAATGAAAGGATGTACGTATTTCATATACAAGTAGTAGGTGGCTACCGCGTCCGACACTGAGTAGTTAGACAAAACTTGTGGTTGCTCTACAGCCATGCGACACATATCTTCTGGATCCAGCTCAACTGGATCGTAACGCAATTTAGCCTTCGCTACCGCTTTTAGACCTTGCGAACCGACTGGTAGATAGGAATCACGTTTTACCTGATAAATATAAAAACTGTAAATAATTATTCAAATTTTAGTAAATTTATTTCTCACCCAACACAGACAATCCATATGTATAGCGGGGCGACTCAAATAAAAACCATCTCGGAGTTTTGAGAAACCAATCTCCTGTTTCATGTCTAAATCATAGACAGCAGCACGCGTCTCAACAAATGGCCAGTCGAAGAAGTCACCGTTATATGTCACCACAATATGTGGACGCACCTCCATTATGTGGTCGAAAAATTTCTGTATCAAATACATTTCATTCTTTTCATTAAACACGATAAAATTGCCTTCGAATTCTGGTTTCGGTGTATATTCAAAGTCATCTACATCTGTGGAAATTATTTCACGATTTGTTATAAGATAACCTTGACCATCAATCATATATGAAATCATCATAATCTGATCGGTTTGTGCATCCGGAAATTTTAACGGTAATTTTGTGGTTTCAATATCAAAAGCTAAAACTACCGGCTCAGGTCGCTCGAGCAAATCCGGACGTTGTGTTATTATTGGTAATTCCAAACCACCGCTACGGCAGCGTATATTGTACCATTGACCGCAAAATATGCTTAAATCAATTGAGACACGCACATGATAAGGCACGTCATGCTCGCGTATGTCCAATATAAGATCCATATAATCCATTTGTTTTTTAATTTCACCATCACTACCGATATTGGATGCAGCCAGTGAAGACGACAACATTTGCATATAAAATGTGTTGGATTTCTCACGTTCCAAATTACGTTTGACCGCTGCGTTTAATTCACGACGCACTTTCGTCATAGCAGTTTGATTTAGAAATGATAGTTTGAGAAAGTGTTGTTTTTTACCCACTAAATGATTTGCCAAGTCGAGATCCTCTTTACTTATGTGTTCCACATTTGCCAATTGGCCAGAGTATTTGCGACTTAGAAAACGTGCCACTTCATGTGACTGCTTCTCATCCGGTCGTATCAATAAATATGGTTTATATGCGACGGTACATTTGAAGCGTGAGCCATCCATTTGAATGAAAAACAAATCCAGAGCAGCAACCAGACGACGGTCTTCATCCAAAATCTCAGTCTGCAGAAAATAAAGCATTGCATATTTAAAACTATTAAATATATACATATATACCAAGCGTAACTTACCGAGTGCATATTTATGAGGTAACCAGTACGCTCAAGGCTATCTTTTACACGGTCGAAACCATATTTGGAGTCGATTTTGTCGTTTTCACGCGACTGCCGGTATCCAGCCTCGTTGAAGAAGTCATCGCTGTGTGCAATTCAACAATTACAATTTTGTCACATTTTGTTTATATTTTGTAAAATACTTACCCTTCAGCACGTGTATCCGACGTAAATTTGCCCGTGTTTTGAAGAACTTTTGTTCTATTGCCACCTCCATCCTCCATTATGTTCCAAAAATTTTTTTGCAAAACTTTGGATTTCTAGTAGATTTGCAGAACTTGCGAAAAACGTATTGCAATTAAAGTTTATTTGGCGGCAAATTGTTTGAAGTGAAGAAGGGTTGCCGACTTTATAGATTTAAATACAATCAGCTGATCGGTTTGCCATACCAGATGAAATGAATAAATAGTAATTTAAAAAAAAATATTAAAGCCAAATATATCTGTAGAAGAATATACAAATACCAAAAAGAACTTGAAACTAATATTACAAATGTTATTTTATATAAATTTTGTTCTCAGTTGATTTAATGCAACATTTTCACATTTTGTTTACGTATTCTAGTTTGTATTAAAGTCCGGCAACACTGATTATAGCTCCACGTCAAACGAAACGCGAATTAGCTCAAAAGCCGCCCTGTCCGATAAAAAAAATAATTTTTTTTGTGGTTTTTATAAGTTTCTATCGCACAGTATCCATTAAATTTGTCTAAAATGGTTAGTTTGATCAACACAGTAGACACCGGTCATGAGGATATGATCCATAATGCTGTGCTGGACTACTACGGACTGCATTTGGCAACTTGCTCATCAGATGGGTCTGTAAAGGTGTTCGATGTGAAGAACGGAAATCAAATTTTAGTTGCTGACCTCAAGGGTCATCAAGGGCCTGTGTGGCAAGTAGCATGGGCACATCCCAAGTTCGGAAATCTATTGGCTTCCTGTTCATATGATCGTAGAGTTATCGTATGGAAAGAGGGTGCTTCAAATGAATGGACGAAATTGTAAATACATACACACACATATCAGATAACACAGTATTGTTTAATAAAATACGTTTTTTTTTCTAGCTATGAGTACAACAATCACGATTCCTCCGTTAATTCGGTAGCTTTTGCGCCTGCCGAATACGGTCTGATACTAGCATGCGGCAGTTCGGATGGTTCAATATCCATACTAACATGCAACATAGAATATGGCGTTTGGGATAACAAAAAGATTTCGAATGCACACACTATCGGTTGCAATGCAATTTCTTGGTGTTCTTCAACTGTGCCAGAACCAGCATTCGATCAGCGTTCTTCAACACGAAACACTGCCGTTAAGCGTCTCGCTAGTGCCGGATGCGATAATTGTGTGAAAATATGGCGAGAAGATGCTGATCGTTGGGTGGAAGAAAATCGGCTTGAGGGACACTCTGACTGGGTGCGTGACGTAGCTTGGGCGCCATCAATCGGATTGGCCCGTTCACAAATCGCCTCGGCGTCACAAGATCGTCATGTGATTATCTGGAACAGTACTGATTTGACAACATGGTCGTCAACAATATTGCATACTTTTGATGATGTGGTTTGGAGTGTGAGTTGGTCAATGACCGGAAATATTTTAGCCGTTACGGGTGGTGACAATAAAGTGACACTGTGGAAGGAAAATAACGAGAACCAATGGATGTGCATCAATGACGATGCCGCGGCTACAAATGCACAAACAAACGAGCAGCGCACGCTGTAAAAATAAATGGTAACCAAATGAAAAGTCTATGACAATATGTAAACTATGTTTCTTAATTTGCCAGCAGACAAAATATAAATATAAGACGTACATACATATAATAGCTAGAAATGTGTGCTGTTGAGAATAAAATTATAAAAGTATCTAAAGCATATTTATACAATATTTCCTTTATGCACTTTTTGTTTGTTCTTTCATATTGTCATAGACATTTCATAAACTTTTGAGTTGCTGTTAATTTGAAATTGATTAAATGGTTTAGAGATAAGAAATTAAGTCTTGTGCAGATTAGTCTCGTATTAATGTTCATGTTCTTCTATTTCCATATATATATATAACTAAATAGACATACATACATACATATGTTTACTTTCTATTACACTTGTCAGTTATTGTGAAGGCAGGATTGTCGTATTGTAATACAAAATAAACTAGCTAAAAAAAAGAAATTATGGCTTTATTTCGCCTCCTCTTTGAGAGTGGCTACAAATTATTTTATATTTCCTGTAGTTAGTTTGAAAATGATTAGGGAGATTGTACGAATTGCTAGTAAGTAAATATATTTCTTGTTCTCCCGCTCTATGTAACCGGATCGGACCCGGATTTTTATTCGGCCTGGGACTGTTATGTCAACTCGGCAGAATTCTGCCGCTACAAGAACGACAACAGAATATATTTGTTTCTTATTGGAAAATGCAATTTGCATTTACAAAACCGAAATGTCAATTATACGATTTTGTGAAATATTTTAAATGAGGGTCATCTCCATAATGGCGATATTTAGTAGGTAAGGTCATATTATAAATTAGAGCAGGATCCACAAAATTTATATTTTTTATGTTTTCCATACATTTGTGAATTTGTTTAAAATCAATTCATATACATATATTGGTTAAAAATTAGGATTGAGGTCTTTGAGTTTATAGTTCTCTAGATGGTTGAATTATTTAATTGTGTTGTAGTTTTAGTGATTATGAAAGTAATTTCAGGGAAATTGGTTATCATCTGAAGCCACAGAAGAAATAATCATTCGTAAGACGGTTCGAATCAATGCCAGTCCTTTCCATGAGAGTAATGGAATGAACTCGGATTTTTTTCGGGCCAAAGGCTATCACCTCGGCAGTATTCCTCAAAACTACTTGAAGGAACAACTCAATGCCAGCATATATTACTAAAATTTGGAGCAATTCTACTGCGTATGGAAAAAATATGGAACTATGTTGCGCTAATGGAGTATGTGAATGCTCCAAAGAGATTTGCTCTTCCTAGCATGTTTTAAATATCACAATTGCATATATTACAATCACTGATAATTTTGGAAATTTTGATTTCGGTTGAGGATCATCCAATACGACATTTTCTTTAGAGGGGGTGGACTAGCTTTCAGAGATTCGATTGTTTATCGAATGCCTCGATTTCTCTTTACATTGTATATGATCATATAGCAGCTTCATAACTTTCCATTTAACATAGAAATCAAGCAGCAAACGAAGCTTGGTGCAATTTCCATATTAGTCGCCCTTACTTACAAGGAGAAAATAATTTTAACCCAAAGAAGTGCCAATAAAGTTCAAAGCGCAGCTTATTAGAAACTCTCCCGGTTGTGCGACGAACTCTAAATATATTCGTAACAATGAAGTTTGCCTTGAAGTTTGGAACAGCCAAAAAGAAACATTGAAGACCTAATAAAGTAAAAGTATATGTAGAATATGTCTGTCTGTGTTTCTCACCGTCCATCCATGTATACCAAAACAATCAAATTTTTTCTTACAGTTTCAACCCGTCGACTCGTTCCTGACTATGTCAATATCGTCTAATATCTTATAGAGTTCATCGTTCCATCGATTGCGGTATTCGCCGTAGCCAATGCGCAAAGGACCATATCATTATCGCAGAACCTTTCTCTCGAAAACTCGTAGCGTTGACTAATCAGATGTTGTCATCATCTATGCCTCTGCACCATATATCAGGACGGGAATTTTGAGTAACTTGTGGAAATCAGTCTTTGTTCGCCGAGAGAGGACTTTACTTCTCAATTGCCTGCTCATTCCGAAGTAGCACCTGTTGGGAAGAGTCATTATGCGTTGGATTTCGACGAAATTATTTACGACGGAGTCATGACAGTCAGCAGTCACATGGAAACCAAGTCGTGAGTGCAAATACTGTTTGTTTGATAGTGGGAAATATTTCTCCTTGCCTTCGTTCACCACCAGACCCGTTTTGCTTCTTTGTCCAACCTGAAGAAAGTAGAACTAACGACGCGGTTGCTATGGCCAATGATATTGATATCATTGATGTAAGCCAGCGGTTGTACACTCTTTTAGAAGATTGTACTTTCTGTATTCAGCTCTGCAGCTCCATTTATATTATCCAGCAGTAGATTGAAGAAGTCGCAGGATATGGAGTCGTCTTGTCTGAAACCACCTTTGGTATCGAACGGCTCGAAGAGGTCTTTCCCGTGCTGACGGAGCTTTTGATGTTGCTCAACGTCAGTTTACACAGCCGTTTTGCGGGTATACCAAATTCAGACATAGCGGCTTAAAGGCAGCTCCTTTTCGTGCTGCCAAAAGCCGCTTTAAAATCGACGTAAAGAATCGATTTTTCTTTTCATGGGTTTTTTCTAAGATTTAGCACATGGTGAATATTTGGTCAGTAGTTGATTTTTCAGGCCTAAAGCTACGCTGATGAGGTCCAATCAATTTGTTGAAGGTGGGCTTTAATCTTTCACACAGTACGCTCGATAGAACCTTATATGCGATGTTGAACGGTAGTTGTCGCAGATTGTGGGGTCTCCTTTTTGTGCATTGTACAGAACACACTTAGAGTTCAATCGTCAGGCATGCTTTCGGCTTTATTAGTTCTTGTTGCCATATTTGAATAGCTTGGCGGGCAAACCAACGGCCCCCGCCGCTTTGTCGTTTTTCAGCCGGTTTGTTCAGTAAAATTATAATAAAGATTTAAAACTAAAGGAGAGCAAGTGTTACAAAATCATTGATAGTTTCATGAACTGTGAGCGTAAGTACAACCAAAATCGATCTTATATCTAGGGCAACAAAACCAGTATTAACCGATGTTATTTACCTAAGCCTATGTAACATAAATAAAAAGAATGCATACTAAATATGTCCACCCAAGCCACTTTTGATATGTCCACAGCCGTCAACACTGTATAAAAATTCATATAACCTAGTTTTTAAACACACCAATTTTTTTCCACCGCTCACTTGAGTTTACATGCAGCCACGGGCGCCTCCAAATTAATTGGCGTAAATTTAAATTCATTAATAATTTGCACAATGTTACTTATACGCCTAGTGGTACATTTGTTACCAACGTTTCAGCTGGCTATTTTCTTTGCGTCCACGTTTGTATAATATGTATGTGGGTGTGTATGCATGGCAGTATGGCAGTATATATATTTAAGCGTTGAAGAACCGATTAAAGCAGAAACTCTGACTTGGCACAAAGTTCACTATAGTCAAAGGCATTAGCACATTCCAACGCCACCGCAAACAGTGAGCGACAACAGCAACAAAATTTTTTTTTTGTTATTACTAATAGACACTCATGTGGCATACATTGAG